AATTAGTACTAATTATTATTATCAGTTATATTAATTATTAAAATAAATATATAATTACAATTTATCAAGTTTGTTTAAATTTGATAAATATAGAGGTGTGGCAACTTAGTGCAGTAGTCTAGTCATTACTCTCTCCAAGTGGCAAGTCTAGAGTTTAAATTTCACAGATGACAATATTTAAAAAATAGACTTGTGTTCGATTGATAACTATATATATTGGTTGGATTTAATTTGTAACTTTAGTTACACTATCTAGTAATAGGAGCAATAGCGCAATAAATCTGAGGAACTGGGAAGTTTCGAGTTAGGAAGTAATAGTGATCTTTGATAGTATTACAAGAGGGCTGAATTCAAACCGAGGCCCAAGATCAGAAAACTGAACTACTAAGTTCTAATAGTAGAGGATACACTAGCTGAACTACCGGGTTTTGTCACACCAAAGAAAAAGAACACATGCTCCAAAAGTATATACCAAGAGGAAAGCATCTTTTAGATACCTAAAGCCTAGGCAGACCGATCCTTCTGAGTTGCCAGCTAAAAGTAAGAGAGAGACTGATAAAGAATCTGGATAAGAAGACAGTTCAAATATAGGTACCAGGGTTGTTGTAAACCTAATAAGGGTAGAAGTAAGTAATAGGTAGCTAATTAGAAAAGTTGTGGCTTAAGATACAGATCAGATTATGACAGTATTCTAAAGAGTGGCTTGAAATACGAACTTGGTAACAGCAGCACAACAGGTACTAATTAGTTGTAGAGGTTTAATAATTAGCTCTGACCCCAAGTATATAGGTCAAGCTATGGCGTAAAGTTACTAAAGTCTGGATAAATACATAGGTAGAACATGTATTCTAACAATGAGACAGCTAAGGCCTGGGATTATATAATATCTTTAAATACATCGTGCCATATGTGGGGTATTGTAGCCAACATTAGTGAGATAATTAGATTGAGTGTTCTGTAGGAAAAGCTGATCTATTGTTTAATGTAAACTATTAAGTGGCTTAGTTGTAGGACCTTGAGCTTAACAAAGCTTAGCCAATCTTCAATACAAGTTATCAATAAAAAAAAAAAAAAAATTTGGTAAATATAAACAATATATTTTTTTCTTTAAAACCTTATACTAATTTTAATATAATAGTTTGCCAAAAATATATTATATTAGAAACTTTTTTAATTGCTAACAACTAATTAACAAATATATTTGCCAATCGATAAGCAATATATCTGCTAATTACTATCGATATTGATAATAATCGATTGGCAATAATAATTGATTAAGTTACAATCAATTAGCACAAGGTCTGTCAATTAGAATTAATTTGATACAATTGATTAGTATTAAAAATAATTGATTAGTATCAAAAGCTAATAACTCTAAATTATATTCAATTTAATAAGAAGATTTTTTTGGATTTACAATTGATATACAGTCAGACCTCTCTAAATGCACATTGTCAGGACCAGCTCTAGTATGTGCATTTAGAGAGGTATTGCATTTAAGGAGGTAAAAATTTATAGATATAATATTAGTTGGGCCCAAAAGAAGACGTGTATTTAGAAAAGTACTGTATTTAGGGAGGGTGTATTTAGAGGGGTCTGACTATATTAAAAAAATTCTAATAAACACTAATACGTACATATAATTCAACCTCATTAACTTTAACCCAACTTTAATAATATACTTAATCACCTCTAACAAATCAAAAGCAAAGCTTTTAATTATTGTCATAGCTGAAGCTGAAAATAGCTAAAGCTAGAAATTAGAAACCTTGATTTAAAAATAAAAACTCTACCAAAATCCACTTATACTCTTTTATTATTAAAACTACTTCTAAAAAAAAAACCTTAACAAAAAGCTCAAAAAATTTTTGAAAATTTCATATTAAAATAATTAAATTTTTAGTATTAGCTGCAACAATTATTAATTTTTAGCTACTATTTCTTGCTATAAATAAGCATCCATTTTTTTCAATTTTCATATCCAAGTTTCTTATAATCTAGTAATCAGATTAGTATGATTTTGATATCATTTGAATCATTTTGATGTGCTGATTTGAATAATACCAAAATCATACAAATCTGATCACTAGATTATGAGAAACTTGGATATGAAATTTGCAAAAGGTGAGTGCTTATTCATGGCAGAATACAGTATTCTTTACTATAATACTTTAATTGATAATCTACTAGTTAACCAGAGAGTAATCATAGTAAAATATAACTCAAATTACTTATAAAAATTGGGGGTTTTCAAATATGGTGTGTATACATCTAAAACTTTTTTTATACTAAGTTAATTATCTTTCTAACTTAAAGAACTTTTGTAAAGCTTGTCAAGATGCATCTAATGGTGGTTAAAGCATCAAAATCAGCTTGGTGGTTGCTAAGATATCTTTATAAAATGTTTCTTTTACTATGTAAACTTCTTTGCAAACAATACTATTATTTGCAAAGAAGTTCATATAGTAAAAGAAATAGTTTTTAAAGATATCTCAGCAACCACCAAGTCAATTTTGATGCTTTAACCACTATTAGATGCATCTTGACAAGTTTTACAAAAGTTTTTTAAATTAGAAAAATAATTAATTTAATATAAAAAAAGGTTTAGATATGTATACACCACATTTGAAGACCCCAATTTTTATAAGTAATTTGAGTCTCATTTTATTATAATAACTCTCTGGTTGACTGGTGGATTACCAATTAAATAGAAATCAAAAATCATGCTTAATTCATTATTGATTCCTTTTTTTCATATTTGTCTATATCTATGCTATTTTTGTTGTAGAATTTATCATTAACTTACTTATCTGGATTGCCACTTAAGCAAACTCTAAATAGCAATCAAATGCTTTTTTTCATTCTTGGCTATATATAGTGTTTGTATTTGAACCAATTAAAATAATATAGACAAAATATGGACATAGTCATTTTTTAATTGAACATATACATTTGGACCAATGTTGACGCGAACTGGTCAATGGTCAAGCTTGACCAGACCAGTTTGACCAATTTGACCGGTCTGGTCAAAGAGTTTAGTATTGGTCAAATTGGTCAAATGATATTTAAACATATAATATATATATACATATAGTATATATACTATTTTTATTTTATTAATAGACTAAGCTATTTGACCAATTTGACCAGACCAGTTTGACCAGTGAATTTTTGGTCGACCAGTGATTTAACCAACACTGATTTGGACTATATTCAACAAACACTGGCTATATATATACTATTTCTATAACAGAATCCAACATTAGCTTGACTATCTGAATTGTTATTAGTACTATTAAATTCTTTTTTTTCATAATTGCTTTAGCTAAATTATAATTTAAACCCATACTATTGTCATAATTAAGTTAGCAAAATATGAAAAATTAATAATATTAATAATAAAATTTTAAACTAATATGTATAAAATACTTATCAAATATTGTTCTATATAGTGTTTTATATACTTTCTTTATATAACAAACCTCAAGACTAGAAATTTAATATTATATTACAAACTGCTAATATAAAAACACAGTAGTAGTTAGTTAAGTATAGAGGTGTAACAACTTAGTGTAGTGGTCTAGTCATTACCCTCTCTGAGCAGCAAGTCTAAAGTTTGAATTTCACAGACAATAATTTTGAAAAATAGATCTGTATTATAGTTAATAACTATTGATTATTGGTTGGATCTAGAATCAAATCTATAATCTCAGTTATACTATTTAGTAATAGGAGCTTTGACACAATAAATCCAAGAAATCAAAATAACCAAAAACAGTACATACAATATATATGATGAAAATTTAGAAATTGTTATTCCAAAAAGGATACACCTAACTGTTAATTAGACAAGTAGTTAGTATATAATTTTTTTTTTGTTACTTTGTTAGCATCTGTTAACTTTAATATATGATTTATATTTTAGCATAAAAAGTAATCAGCAAGTTCCTGACAAATAGTCAGGATGATACATGATTTATTTGGCTAGTTAAAAGTTATTATTAAAAAATGCAACCCCAATTTCTATACAAATAGCGAACAGATAATTCAGTAATTAATTAATTAATAAAGTTTGTCAAAAGATCTGGTAATCTTCTTGAAAAGCAAATCTAAATAGTTCGAATCAATGTTGTATATTTTTATTGTCCAAAGATTTTTGAGTGAAGTTTCTCAATAACCACCAGTTTAAATTCAATAAAAATCTTCATCAAATTTGATCAGATAGTTATCAAAAAAGCTTCACTCAAAAATCTTTGGACAATGTAAATGTACAACACTGGTTCAAATAAATTTAATTAACCATGAACCTTAAATTTGTGCATTTGTTTTCAAAAAAATTTCCTTTAAGAATTAATCTCGTTACTATATTCACCTTGTACTATTATTATTTGGTGGTTTAAAAATGAGATTACATAATCAGAATCAGTTTCACTTTTTTAAACCCGCCAGAGGGTGAACAATCACGTAATTAGTGATGGCTTACTATGCCATACATTCACTAAGACTTGTGTTTGGAGTTTTACTCAAATCCACTTGCAAAAATTTTTCTCTCTGCTAAAATATTAATGTTAAATTTAAAAGGTATGTTTTAAATATAATTTTTTAAGAGAAAGGTAGAGATGCTTAGTAGTATCCCGAATAATATATATAGAGGTTATAGTGAATTTTACCCACTTTTTACAAAAATAACAAATATTTTTTTCTTTTTTCAAAAAACCCACCTAAAATTTATTAATTTTACCCATTTTAATTAAGCTTTTATCCACTTTTAAATATAAACTTTTGGCAAAATGACCGCTTTTCAAATATATCATTTTAGTAAAAAAGTCACTTTTTTATCCAAAATTTCAATATAGTCCTCATAGTCAGTTAATCGATATTGTGATCTGTGTAATATATGATGAGTTTCACTTTAAAAGCATAGTACTGTTGTTGTTGTTGTTGTTGTTGTTGTTGTTGTTGTTCCAAAACGTATATTTTTGAAATTAACTATCGCTATAATGTCGACAAAAGACTTTACCGACAATTCTTCTGCAACTATGTCTTACAAGAGTTCTTTCTCCTACAAAAACGATAACATAAATATCATCTACGTCACCAATAACGTCGAAATAAGAATTGAAAAAATTACCAGTGATGTTGCAAGGGTGTATTTCGTAAGCCAAGGCCGTGAAATTCAAGTTCTAGCCAATACTATTCTTAGGAATATAAACAACAATCAAAATGAACCAATTTTTCGTAACAGTTTTTATATTACTTGGGTTCCTGACTATATTTTGTTTCATGATGGTGTCGAAGTTTTTCAATTAGAAAATCAAAAGCTACAAGCAATAAAGGGTGCAATAGATCTTGAGACAGATGTGATCCAGCAATGAACATATTATCTCAAATATATATGTTTTTTTTCGATTTCATGTAATTTCTTAGTTTTCATTCTACAAGTAATTTTAAACTCGAGAAAGAATTGTGAAAACTCCAAATATGCATCTAAATTTTAGAAATAAGATAGTATTTTATACTAAAAATGGAATTAACTTAGGTACCACTATTTAGAATTAAAGGTTATATTTTTAAGACGAATAGGCAGAAATTTAATAATTATAAAATACTTTAAGGAATTGCTTGCTATCTATATAGCAATTTCAATGGCATTCTACAGTAATTTAATATAAAAATTGAGCACAGGGATGTTATCCAATTTGCAAATTCCTTTTTGAAACTAACTCTTTAAACATAGAATCGCTCTTGCAGATTCGTCTTTTAATCTAGCTCGTGTATTTTTTTATATTTTGGTCGGTAATTTTATTAAGGTTCGAAATATCAACATTTATTTCATTAGAAATTGAAACTTCAATGCTTATTTTATCACAATGAGAAATATTGAAAGATGGAAGCAAGAAATTTCTGTTATCGTTTATGGTTAGAAAGGGGTATGAAAGTTTTATTATTATTTGTGTTGTTTCTTTATATTAATTTATCAGCTTTTTTTATTAGTAGTATTAGTCATCGTTAGACCATGATCCAGGACCAGGACCGAGGACTGATAATTATTCGGTCCTCAGTCTTTTACCATCTGGTCCCGAAGACCGATCAATCCCTATAAATTATATTAACCTTACAGCTGTTTTCATAAATTCTGGAAAATCTGGCAAAAACTGACTGACAGAATATCTGCCGGTTTGTGATAAACTTCTGATTTGGGTGATTACAGTACTGCAGTAATAGGGTGATTCAGAATTAAGGATCAGGTTCTGATTTCGAATTAAATTAGTAATGTATTTATTAGATGTAAGACCTGTCATTAAATAACAGGTTAGGTTTACACATTTCTTATTTGTGGAATAGTAATAAATCAGTAAATTACAGAAATAATGGATTTACATATAAAATAAGTTATTTAATTTGCTATTCTTAGAGGTCATCTGAAACCAGGTAGTTTTTGAATTGATTACTAACAAATTTGTAAATTAAAAATCACATGCCGCATATAAATTACTATATATATATTTGACTTTAGACGCAGATAATGAATTTTAACACTGTTCTATTAAATAATGAAAACACATTAATTTATAAAAATATTAATAAGCAAGTATGTAAATAGCTAATCAAATAGTAATATGATTTAATTTTATCATGTTTTTATGAAATGGTTTCAAAAGCGATATTTGTCGAAAAATAACAATTAGCTAATAAAATATGGATATATTTTATGAGCAAACTAAACCTACCAAGAAACAACCTACTTGTACTACTCTGAAGAATTTGACCTGTATGAGGAAGAATATTTAACTCCTCATGAAACCTATGCTTTCACTACTGAGGAACAAGAGAAAGGAAGTTGGTACTTTACACATTCAAGAGGTTTATCGTGATGAATTTCAGGTAATCGAATCTTATAATTGCGAAAGAGTGGGGGATTCGTTAATTAGTTTGTAATTTAATCAATTTATTTGCTAATAATGGGGAGTTCGTAATTTAATCAATTTATTTGCTAATAATAAGTATTTAGGATTAAAAAAAAACAGGCAAAAATTGGGTGAAAGCTTGATTTCATGTTCAGGTCAAGCAAATTCTCAAGAACTCGCAAAAAAAACGATATGAGTTTCTCATTGGAGAGATGAAAAAACAAAAGATGATAAATGGAAACTTTTCGGAATGCTTAAAGATATCTACGATGATAGATACATTTAAAACCCTTGAAAAAATATACGGGTTGTTAATTTCTGGTATGTATAAACAAACCTATTCTAAACATCAATTTTATCACTATTCCCTTATTTTTATATATAATTAATTTTTAATTTAGGAACAAATTAAGTCCCGATATTAATGTTGCCCTCGATACTGATGCTGCTCCCGATCGTTATGTTGCTCCCGCTACTAATCGTCACGCTGCTCTTGTTACGGGTTATATAGAACAAGGAAGGTAGATCAAATGATTCTTCATGTAAACGAAGATGATGATCAAATTATTGTTGCATGTTTATATTTTAATCGTTGAGTTAAGATTACTATAAAAGATATTATTATAAAAATTAATTTAAGCGTCTGAATAATTCATAAACAAATAGATTTATATCGGAACTTCTAACTAAAAAGTTGTTAGAATGATTTTATAATACGAACTTTTCCATCCCAACACTAATCACATAGAACTGTTAGAATGATTTTTTGCCTTGCTTGATTATTTGAATTTCATGTTAAACTGATGATTGCTAAAATTCAATTGACTGCCGTCTTCAATCGTTACTGCAATACTTTTTACATCTCTGTAT